TCACTTGTGTCTTCCAGACTGTTTATTCGATGGCCCCGTTCCCTTTCCCACAGCTGGCGGAGCTGAGGGAAAAGTATACCTACAACATCACACCATTCCCAGCCACAGTGAAGCCCATATCAGTGTCCGGGTAAGTGGCTTTCTGTTTTTCCTCATTTTGTTATTGCAAGGTGACACTTAAGCCCTTGGACATATGCAAACTAACTTGGTACTTAGAACCCGAAGGACCCTTTCCCAAAGGTTTACAGACTCAGATTCAACAGAGCTGTTCAAAGTGTGCTTCCCACACGAGGTGGGGCATGAACTGAAGAAAAAAGTGTAGCAAACCTACAATGTATTTAAGACTGCAAAATACTTAAAATCTCAGTAAGTTAAACAGGGTGAAACTGGCATACCAATGGATGCATCAGATGATTTAGAATATTCTTTATAAAGTCCAGAAAGTCACAGAGACACACAGACACACACGCACACACACACACACACACGTGCGGGCGTGTGCATTAGCAGCTTAGCTCATTAACGTGAGCTGTGTAGATATAATACAGCTGTGAAAAAGATGAAGGAAGCTTGATATAAATACTGAAATATTTTATTAAATAAATTAAAAGCAGGGTGCAGAGGGATATATGTATATTCTCAGATTTATACCAGACTCTACAGTTATGTCTGTTTATCTGTGCATAGATAACTATAGAATATGAAAGAAGCTGGTAACAGAGCTGACCTATGGCAATTAGGTTGGGCAAGACTCAGGAACAAAATGGTCAGGGGAAAAAGGGAAAAACATACACACACAAACACACACACAACGGCATTTAAATTTTATTACTTAAAAAAAATCTGTATTTTCTCTTTTTTCTTTTCTTCCAAGGCGACATAAGTCCAGAGATAGTGACGAGGAGCATGAGCCTGATGATGAGGACGCCGTTGCTAGTGCCGTGGGATGCCTCGGGCCTTTCAGTGGGTTCCTGGCACCTGAGCTGCAAAAGTACCAAAAGCAGATTAAAGGTAAAGGGGGCCTTCGTGTGATAGTGTTGGTTCATTTGAACAAGGGCCTGCACACGCCCGACTCTCTGGCTGGCTACTGCCATCCAGAGTCTATAAAAGCATCTTCTCCATGGTTTATCTCTTGGCAGGATCCATCTCTATCTCTCGTCGCCCATACAGAACTCCTTTCGTTTCCTTTATGATAACTCTTACTGCCGCTTGTCCGAACAAGCAGCCTTGCCTGCTCGGTGTAGAGCTTATACTCAGTGCGTCCTGCTGGGGTTCGATTCGGGTACCTGTAGACGGGCTCTCTTCTGCTTAGGATTGAATGTTTTAGTTTCTGGATGGCAAGACAGTCATCTTTTCACAAGACACTACTAGATCCTCCCCTTAGTCTTGGGTTCCTAAGCAGCAGAGGGAGTTTGTCTCCTCCTTTCCCTCGAGGTTGGCTCTCACATCTGTTAAAGGCCTTTGTTGGGGATGCCTACCTTCCTGCCTGTCTGTCTTCTTTCCTTCCTTTCTCTCCCACCTTGGCTCTTGTTCGTGCTGGGAACTGAACCTAGGACCCCACACATGCTAGGGAAGTGCTCTACCATAGAGCTGTGGTTCCAGTCCTCGGAAAGAGGCCATTTCTCTTAAGATATGACTCTCTACCTTTTGATAGTCTGTGAGTCCACCTGATATGTGCTATGATTTGGGATTGTCTCTCTTAAATGTTGTGCTCTGGATCTGGTCGCTCTCTATTTCCTGCATAGAAGTGATTTCCTGTGGGCTTGACAGTGCAATCTAACGAGCTTTTAAAAGCAGCTTGTAGTTTTCCCCACTGGGTCCTTTCCTGTCTTGGGTGGAACTGTCTTAGGATATTTTGTCTACCTCTTCCAATTAGGAGGCCAATTCTCTTGTACAAGGAGGGCAGAAATGACACACAGGCCCTCTGCATTATCTTTGTCACTTGCCAACTTTACCGTCTTGAGATTACTAAGCTGTCTTGTCATTTTTTTGTTGTTTATTATTTAGAATGTGGCAGTGGTAGCTGGTGGTATTGCCTTTTGGTTGTGGTAGTTTTGAATGCTTTATCCAAGCCTCGGCTCATTTTGAGATTGTTTGAGACAGTCTTTGCCTTAGTTACTTTTCCATTGCTGTGATAAGACTCACCATGGCCAATGCAGCTCATAGAAGAAAGAGTTTATTTGGGGCTTACAGTTTCAGAGAGTCAAGTCCATGACCATCATGGCAGGGAGCATGGTGGAAGGCAGGCAGACCCGGCATGGAAACAGTAGCTAGGAGTTCATGTCATGAGACAACCACACACATGTCAGAGAAAACACACTGAACATGGTGAGTCCTCTGAAACCTCAAAGCCCGCCACCAGTGACACACCTTCCCCAGCAAGGCCACATCTCTAATCCTTCTGAAGCAGTTCTACCATCAGGGAACTGATTATTTAGACACAGGGAGCCTACGGTGCCATGATGATTCAAACCACTCCAGTCTTGAATATCCTGGGTGTTACCTCCCCGACCCAAGTGCTGGGATTGGTACAGCATGTGCCATCATGCTGGTTTATATGGTGCTGAGGACTGGCCTTAGGGTTTTGTATATACCAGGCTAGCACTGTACCAGCTGAGCCCATGCCCAGCTTCATTTTGAGTTTCAGCCTGCTTGAAGACTGGGCTGATATATAGAAATTCATTGAGTTGTATAGACTTCAGGTCTGGTTAATTTTGGTGTGTGATGCTTTTATTTATTTGCAATTTTTTATAATAAAGTTTATAAAGTTAAAAACAGTTTGGCTTGGGGAAGAAGACTGGGTTCACACTGTTTTGTGTGTTATGTCCATCTTTAAAATAACCATTGGGAATCTGAGCCCAACAAGATTCCTCTTGGTTTCTGTAATACCTTTTGCACCCTTTCTTGTCTGAAATTTTTTTATTTTTGGTTTTTAGACATGTACTCAATTATTAACGTTAAACTTTTTAAAAAGTTATCATCACTTTGATATATAACTTTTTATTGACCCTTTTTATTTTTAAAGATTTATTTTATTCATGTGTATGCATGTGTCTGCTTGAGTGCCTGTATACATATATGTGTGAATGCCTGTGTACATGTGTGTGTTCGAGTGCCTGTATACATATATGTGTGGATGCCTTTGTACATGCAGTGGCCAGAAGAGGGTTGTCAGATCTCTTGGAGCTGGAGTTACAGATGTTTGTGTGTCTCTGAGCTACATACATGTGTTCTGAGATCTGACCTCTGGTCTTATAATTGTGCAGCAAGTGCTCCTAACCACTGAGCTGTCTCCCTCCAGCCCCATTGCTAAAGGTTTTGGTCATAGCCTATGGTCAGTTTTCTTCTGTGCAATTTAGACCAGAGTGGCCATCACTTTCTCATAAATATGCTTCCTAATGATTTTCTTCAACTTGCCCATTCTTTTAATTTTCTTTTCCTTAGAGGAGTGATTTCAGTAACGAATGAGGTAAATTTATAAGATGCCCAATTCTCCCCTGGAGACATTCTCAGCAGATATTAGCACAGCTGAAATCTCTTCTTTCTTCCATTGGTTCCCAGACTCACTTGTAGACATTACTTTAGAGATTTTCACCCTGATCATCCAGGCAGACTGTGGGTATACATACTCACCAGAGCAATGGTTTCTCTTTTTGGGGTACAATCTTGATTTTACCTAAGGGAAGGTTCTGCTAGCTGTAGATGGATGTCCCAGGGTCAGAAACTATATCAACCATTGCATCCATGGCAGACAGTCAGAAGTGCGTGTTCAGTGTGCAAAAGGACTTGCTTCTGGTGACACAGTGCTCCAAAGTCTCATACACAGATGAAAGGTGCTGTTTTTAGAATGTGCTTGCACGTCTACAAGTGGTTAGCCCTATAAGTTATTACGGAGATGTGAGGATGTCACACAGTTATTATCATAGAACACTTTGCTACACTGTATTTTTTCCGAGAGATTTTTAGAAAGTATATTGATTATTACCTGGAGATAGTTGATCTTGTGTCTACATCATGAAGAAAGTGGCCACAAAATCAATGAACCACAGGCTCGTTAGGGACTTCAGGAGCAAAGCAAAGCAAAAACTAGGTAAATGCTAGGTAAATTCCCGGTTTAGAATTTCTCGAGGGTTAAGGGACTACACTGGAGGCAGGGAAATCTGTTCCCCTTTGCTGGGTCCCCTCCGCTGACCTTGTGTTCCTTCCCCCGAGGACAGAAGCGAGCGAGGAACAGAGCCTGAGGTCCAACAACATTGCGGAGCTGAGCCCGGGAGCCATCAATTCCTGTCGAAGTGAATACCACGCGGCCTTCAACAGTATGATGATGGAGCGGATGACCACAGACATCAACGCCCTGAAGCGGCAGTACTCTCGTATCAAGAAGAAGCAGCAGCAGCAGCTCCACCAGGTGTACATAAGGGCAGGTAGGGAGAGTCTTCCATCGGTTCGAACTTGACCCCAGTGTGGCCAGCGTGACCTGAGGATGGCTTCAGAATTCTCACTGTTGTGGCAAAGTCCTGATGAGAGCACAGTAAGGGGTTACTTTGTCCCAGGCGATGGCTCAGAGCCATTGTGGAGGAGAAAGCGAGGAGGTGAGAGAGGCTATAACGGGCCAGGGGTGGCAGGCATGAGGCAGCCGTCACATTGTACTCAGAGGCAAAGAGCAGAGAGACGTGTGTGTGGATAGTCAGTTTTCTTTCCTCTTTTGCACTCATATTCAGTCCAAGACCTCAGCCCAAGGTCAGCACCAATGCTGCTCGCCTTCCCTGGGAACTTCTCTGGACACCTTCACAGACATGCCGCCCGTGTGTCTCCCAGGTGGCTCCAAGTCTAGTTGAGAATGAAGATTAGCCATCACGCCTTTATCTATCAGCCAGCAGGTCCCAGAAAGTAGCAGCATATTTAGAATCTCACTTTCAACTTTATTTTATCAGGGTGTAAAGATGAAAAGGACCTTGGGTTCTCTTTAGGCCCCCAGGAACAGGCCGTGGATGGTATTATACCCCATTTACTGTGTAACTCTGCTTGTCCAGAGGGACTTACAAATGATTAAAATGTTGCTGAGCGATGCAATCCTTGGACTTGAGAAATTTTAGAAATTCAAATTCGTGGGCCAGTGCGATGTCCCAGGGGGTAGAAGTGCACAGATCTGGCAGCCTGAGTCAGTTTCTGGATGCTACAGAGGCATGACTCCACAAGCTGTCCTCTGGCCTCCCTGTGTGCGCCGTGGTCCACATGTGTCCACGCCCATCTGAATGTACACGTGGAAACAAATAAGCAATAAGAAGCGTAAGCATCTGAAAATGGAATCTAGTCGTCTGTGTACTTCACAGAGGTTCTGATAAGGAAGATGGGAGAAACTGGGCCTCATTGATAAGCCGCTCCCAGCGTGTCAGGAGTGGCGGAGAACAGCCTCATGCCATTCGGTTGAAAGGCTTCTTTTCCAAGGATTGTCGAGCTCTTCTTTCTCTTTTATAATCCCCCAAATCACAGTGACCAATCGGCCTTGCTGTTTAATACATGCTGACTTGGGAGTGGGTCTCTTGTCCCTAATGAAACTGTTGTCTATCGGAGTTCACAAAGATATCAATTTGGCATGTGGCTTCTGAGCATGTGACTGGTCTTGGACAAAAACTGAATCCACCATTGGGAGAAAGAGGGAAATCTTGAAGGATCTAACTCCACTTGGAACCATTAAGAAAGCAATCAGGAATATACATTACCATTCTAAAGGAGAGGACTGGGGACATAGTGGGCAAAGATGGGGCCAGAGAGGACAGGGGACATAGTGGGCAAAGAGGGGCCAGAGAAAGACTAAAAACCAGCAGGGGCAGCAGCAAACCCTGCTACCCTGTCTCTGATGACGGGGACATCAGTTTCAAAGGGCCTAGACGACTGTTTCCCCTGCTGCTTCTCATACCTATCTCCCTTCGGTTACTCTCCTCCCAACATGCAGCTCTCTATGGCGGAGGTTTCACAGCTGAGGTATCGTAGCATCCTGTGATGTCAAAATGCAGCCAGGCTTCATCTTCACAACTTCCTGCAGTGGGGCTCTGACTGTGCCAGACAGACCGATTGCACCCCGGTCCTGAAGAGAGCAGTGGCAGGCTCTGTGTGAAGTTGCGTTCGGAGAAGGGGGCGTGCCCACACATGCCAATGTACATCCTTTGTGCTGTCCTTTCTCAAGAGCATCTTTGAGGGGATGGGGAACCCGTTTATTTACATCTTGTTCAGGGCTGCTTTTATGCTACAATGGCTGAAAGATTTACGGTATAGAAAGTTTGCTGGTCCCCGCTGCAGAGCAGGACTCCAGGGCTTTGCATTAAATAAGGGCAGAGCTTGCTGCCCAGAGGCAAACTTACAGAGCACTGGCTTCCTGATTTCAGAGTGCCAATAAAGTCATTTAGAGATGGGGCTGAAGTCCAGAGTGTGTTTCAGCAAGTTAGCTAGCTGGCGACGCTTTAGCTCCTGACTGGGGCCTTTGAGGTCTTTGAGGTTTTAGAGGAGATGGCAGAAGATATTAACATGAAAGTTACCTTTAACTCTTAGAAGAACACTACAGCTTCCGAGAATAGAAGGTAGTAATATGGATAGTACTTGAAGTACCAGATTCCCAGGTTAGAGAGGGCCTGAGATACCAGATTCCCAGGTTAGGGAGGGCCTGAGATACTAGATTCCCAGGTTAGGGAGGGCCTGAGGTACCAGATTCCCAGGTTAAGGAGGGCCTGAGTTACCAGATTCCCAGGTTAGGGAGGACTGAGGTACCAGATTCCCAGGGTAGGGAGGGCCTGAGGTACCAGATTCCCAGGTTAGGGAGGGCCTGAGGTCCCAGATTCCCAGGTTAGGGAGGGCCTGAGTACCAGATTCCCAGGTTAGGGAGGGCCTGAGCACCAGATTCCCAGGTTAGGGAGGGCCTGAGGTCCCAGATTCCCAGGTTAGGGAGGGCCTGAGTACCAGATTCCCAGGTTAGGGAGGGCCTGAGTACCAGATTCCCAGGTTAGGGAGGGCCTGAGGTCCCAGATTCCCAGGTTAGGGAGGGCCTGAGTACCAGATTCCCAGGTTAGGGAGGGCCTGAGTACCAGATTCCCAGGTTAGGGAGGGCCTGAGGCACCAGATTCCTGGTGTAGGGAGGGTAGGAAGTCGAGATCTTTGAGACCCGAGAGCTCCTGTTTTCTGGGGACAATGAGGAGAAATGTTATATGCAGAGAATATGCTGGAGGTGTTGAGAATCAGGAGGAACTTAGGGACAGTAATGAAGATTCTCATAGATCACTGGACAGACTGAAAGAGGGACGAGGAGGAAAGATTGGGGACGTCAGGGCATGCTCCTGGTGACCCACTTCTACAGTTTCAACCACTTACACATACTGATGTAACTGTAAACTCTCTGAGGGACAGTTAACCATCAGTTAGGTCAGGGTCATGATGATGTAGTCAGTGGTGGGATCTGCCGGCTGCGAACAAGCCTTTCATACAGGAGCCCCTTGGAGAATATACCCATCCAAACCATAGCGTGTCCCCAGCCTCCAGGTGCTAGGGTGCGATTTGGTTTCTGTGTTCCCAGTCACATGGCTCTGCTGGCACCTGGAAATTAATGGGGAAAAGATTCCGGGGGGAGCTCTGTGAGATTGCTGTCCAGACAGTTGTGTTTCTGTGTGGTTTGTTTCACGCGGCCTTTCAACCTTTCTTCCAGACAAAGGCCCAGTCACCAGCATCCTCCCGTCCCAGGTAAACAATTCTCCAGTGATAAATCACCTTCTGCTAGGGAAAAAGATGAAAATTACAAACAGAGCCACCAAGAATGCAGTCATCCACATCCCCGGCCATGCAGGAGGTAAAATGTCTCCTGTCCCCTACGAAGACCTCAAGACCAAGCTCAACTCTCCATGGCGGACTCACATCAGAGTCCACAAAAAGAACACGCCGCGGACCAAGAGTCATCTGGGCTGTGGGGACACCGTAGGGCTGATTGAGGAGCAGAATGAAGGCTGTAGGGCCAGCGGCCTGGGGGCAGCTGAGGAGTTTCCCTCAAGCTGTGCAGCCACGGCTCGTGGTGAGGGCAACAGCTGTGCTGGTGGCACTCCGAGGACAATCGAAGGGCAGTCGCCAGAGCCAGTATTTGGGGATGCCGATGTTGTCGATGTGGCTGCAGTGCAGGTGAAATTAGAAGCCTTGGAACTGAACCAAAGGGATGCCTCTGCCGAGGCTGAGCCCAAGGCGCACCTTCCCTGCCAGCAGCATGCCCCAGAGTCAGCGGGTGGCCCCGGGGAGCACCAGGCTCCCAGCAATCCTCTCCCTGTCAGCAACTCAAAAGCCCCGATCTTCAGCCCTTTTCCTAGCGTCAAGCCGCTTCGAAAGTCAGCCACGGCCAGGAATTTGGGGTTGTACGGCCCCACAGAAAGAACCCCAACCATGCACTTCCCTCAGATCAGCAGGAGCTTCAACAAGTCGGCCACCGGGAGCAGCACCAAGAAACGATGACGCCTCCCGGTGGCTCAGTGTCTGACGTTAGCACGCCAGCCTTACCCTTCCTGTTCTGTTTGTCCAGTGAGAACGAATCGAGAGGCTAGGAGCCGAGCACCGACTGCCCATCCAAGTGGGAACTGGAAGTGTCATGGTGGGAACCAGGGCAGGGGCTTTTCCTACCCACTAGGTAGCTGGGAAAGTGGATTCTTGTGACTGAATAAATTGTGTGCTTCTCAAGTGTGGAGTTTCCCCAATTTTCCTTGTGAACTCTTTAGAAAAGACAATATATAGACTGTTAAGCCCTCTTCCGGCCTTCTCAGGGCCTTTTTGGGATCCCTGAAACAGCAACACGTCCCCCTGGCCTTCCGTCCTCTGGACATCACTAATCCTCCAGCATGAACGAACACACCAGCTTGTTAGAACTGAAACTGTACAAATAAGTTTCTTAGTTGCAAAAAAAAAAAAAAAGTCCTGATGTTTCTCTTTCCCCTCTGTCAGAGAGGGGAGGAATTTGTGTGTGTGTGATGAGTGTGTGTGCGTGCATGTGTGTGTGCACTTTAATACCTGTCTTCAGATTGTTTTTTATTCTTACGCTAAAGCAGAAAAATCAAGATAGTCTTTCTTTAACTTTCTACTTCTACCCGTGAAAAGGTACCTTCACATCATTTGACACTGACGTTAATAGCCAAACTGAAGAGCATACGCAGAGACACTCACTGGCTATGCATTAAGTAGCTGCTCCAAACCGCTTGCCGATTCCAACCTTTCCCGAGGCTCCTTTTCTTCTCGTGAGGACTTGACGAGCTCTCTGTGGAACATGTGCACCCTCTGGACGCGGTTCCTACACCTCCCGACCCTCTCTCCACGACAGATGTGCAATGCCTTGCCCACAACCAGAACACAGCCCCTGTGACTCTGTTACTTGAATTTTGTGCTTTTGGGTTGGACTACTTTGTTACTTGAACACTGCCTTTCCCTGGAGCAGGACCCAGCTCTTTCCCTTGTGTTCCTCTCTCTCGCTTACTCCTACCCTGGTCCCAGCAGGTCAGAGGTAGCTCCTCTTTGTCTCCACTATGCATTTGGGAACTCTGTGCCACACACATGAAGTGGCGCTTCAGTTACTCCAGGTAAATAATCCAGTGTGTCTGTCATAGGACCTCACTCTATTTCTTCTCGTACGATAAGCTGGCTTGCTGCTCTTTGTCCGCGTGCGTTGGTGACAGAGCTGATCCGAGTCAAGACTAGGAAGCCATTCACTGCACAGCCTCCTGACTCTAAAGCTCTCTCTCCAAGGCGTAGAGGCCTGGGATGGTGTTTACAGAACGAGCTGCGAAACCTCCTCCTCATGAAAATTTAGTTTTCTCCAAATGCTTCATGTACCTCTCCCTTGGCTGAATGAAGGGTTTTCCGCTCTGTCGCCACCATCATTAGCAGAATAGAGAGACACCGTGACCTTCATCTCTGGAAGGCTTTGGCAGGTTTTTCAGGAATACTGTCGAAGCCGCCAGTGTTCATTTGAGCAAGTCAGTTCGCGAATTCTGAAACCAGAGCTGGTTTCAGAGCGAGCTTTTACAATGAGAGGTACTCAGTTGTTTTTTTTTTTAATAAGTCAGTGAAATTGTCTGGGCTCTTTTGAATGAAAAGCCTCTACAGGAATGTCACATTTCATGCCCTGTGTGGTATTTTTGCCCCGAAGGACCCGAGGATGGAATGCAGGGCTAATAAGTTGTTATGCGTTGGGGCTGGAGTTCTGTCTGAAGTTAGCAGGCAGCTTCTCAACAGACAGCCATGTTCTTCCTAGGCCTGGGGTGGGTGGGGGGCTTACTTTGCATACCACCCCCAGGTGATGGGATCCACTGTTTCCTAAAGCTAAGCACAAAAAAAGGATTTCTACTATCTGCTAAACTTCAGATAACAACTTTTAGCCTCACTAGCGTCTTTTCTCCTGATCATCACAATTAAGTTCCCCCCCACAGTCTGTTTGCTTAAATAGAAAACTGTCCCCTCTCTGCCAGGCTCTGGCTCCCCAAGAGTCTGGGTGTTGGGGGGAGGTGGGTAGTCAGGTGGGGCTGCCCTACTGAGAGTTCTGTCAGTATTCTGCCCCCGCCTACGTTTTGAGAAAGAGACCGACACAGGGCAAGGGCTGAGTGTTGGTTGAAGGGATAGTTGAGAGGGAATTTTTTTTTTCAGTTAAAATGACCGTGTCAATTTAGAAAACTCAACAGATTCCTATTAAAGCTCTCTGTACCAATACCATGCATGCACAGTACCAAGTAATCACAACATGAACCAGTCGACTTCTGAGCCTTGCTGTTTAGGACAAGAACTCTGCCACAGCCTCCCCCACACAGCATGTGCAAAGGCCTGTATGGACTCACCGTCTTCCCCATATACTGGACACTTTGCAAACACCAGAAGAACTTAACCGCAGGAGTTTATTTCCACGCCTGCCTGTACCCTCTCAGCACTTTTTGGGGAGTCAACCCTGCACCTCAGTCCTCTCTAAAAACCTCTAGATCTACACCTAGTTTGTAATGTCTACCTATGGCTGTAACTGTTAGGAACAATAACAATGTTCTCCTTTTCTCTCATCTTGTTCTGAAGAACTGTACTGATGACAAAGATAAATGCATAAAGTTTCTCACGGTTGTCGTCGTGGTGTGGTTTTTTTGTCCGGGTGCATGCGGGAAAAGGGCTGTGACAGTTCTCATCTGTCACCGCTTTCTCTCCTACGTGCCGCTTGGTCATAGGAATCAGGGCATCGGCTCCATTTTCCCCATTCTTATCACTGGATCCCAGGGTTCCCTGTGGCTTGCCCAGGACAGGGCAGAAGAGCAGGTTCCTGAGAAGTAGGCAGATGAGGACGGCAGGGAGGGAGAGAGAATACATGTATATGGTGTCCACATACATTGATGTTTAGTTCCACCATCTTACTTTGCTTAGTAAAAGAGAACAATAATACAAATTTCCATCTTTGTCTTTCAAGAAGTGCTTGAACTGGGAGCTAGGATAAAGTGGCTCTGCATAGAATCTTCATAATTTCCAAATTACCTTCTTTGCCACCGATAGCAGCCACTTGGCGGCATTTCAGATACACGACTTTTCCTAATCAGGATAGTATCATGTTTTAGAAACTTCGGAAAACACAAGGATTTACGCATGTTTGGGCAGAGATCCTTTCACTAGCTGCATGCGTGTGCACGCCTCACACCCTTTCCGTGGATTCATACCATTTCCGTGGATTCACACCATTCCCGTGGATTCACACCATTTCCATGGATTCACACCATTTCCGTGGCTTCACACCATTTCCGTGGACTGAACTTAGGTCACTAGGACCACACAAATAAGATGTAGCAACTGTGGAAATAAAAACTGGGGCAGCGGTCAGACCAGATGGAAACACAGCTGCTCACGAGCATCTGGACCATTGCAATGGAAGTTTCCGCTTCTCCTATGAGGGTCGATTACGTCAGCAAAGTCTGTAGTCATGGAGTCTTTGCTTTACGGCCGTGGATGGGAGGGGTTACTGGATGATAGTTTGCTGATAAAGGTGGCCCGTGCTCACTGTGTAGGGAATGGGTGGGGACTGGCACGTGGAACTGTAGCATCAGCTCCCTGTGGTCTCCGTCTCAGGATATGGAGTGTCTTGACCCTGCTGCTGCAACAAGAGACCACAACCTGGGTGCCTTCAACGACAGAATTCTCTTCTCAGGGTTTTGAATTTTGATGTGGGATGCCATTCTGTATGCTGCGGATATGTCTTATTACCACTGGTTAATAAAGAAGCCGATTTGGTCAATAACCAGGCGGGATAGAGCCAGTGGGAATTCTAAGCAAAGATACAGGAAAAAGAAGGCAGAGTCCGGGAGATGCCAGCAGCCTCCAGAGAAGCAAGATGTGAGGAAACAAGCCATGAGCCTTATGGTAAAATATAGAATAATAGAAATGGGTTAAACTGTAAGAACTAGTTAATAATAACCCTGAGTGATTGGCCAAGCAGTTTTTAATAGTAAGCCTCAGAGTGGCCATTCAGGCACTGGTGGACGGGAGAGAAG